CTCTCACAAATAAGGATGGTGCCACTGATGTTCTTTGGTGTTTTTTTTTATGTCATTCTTTGGTTTTGTTATGTCACCACAGAGTGGCCTGGCATACCTACTACAACATTTTCAGTAGTTCTGCATCCTGTTGTGTGGATGCACATTTTATTTTAATTGTTTACAAAAATTTACTGTGTTCATCTCCGGCACCTCAAATGACTTAATGAACTTAAGAGGCATCCTCTGCTTTTTCATAGACTTGAGTCTTCCCTCCTTTCTCCTTCTTTTACCCCAAATTCTGCCAGACCACAAGGCACAGAAATGTCCCAACTAAACCAAGAATCAATAGTTCCACAGTCACTCAAGAATCCTCAAGTCAAGTTTATTTGTGTGGAACATTTTCAGCAACAAGGCAGTTCAAAGTGATTTACATCATAAAAATATATTTCCAGCAATTATGAGAGATGCCATAAACATTACATTTTGTCAAATGTCACCATTGAAATGTGTTTTCAGCTATTTTGCAATTTTGTGTTCTAGATTTTTGGTGCATAGAAGCTGAATGCTACTTCTCCATGTTTGGTTCTGGTTCTGGGGATGCAGAACCAGAACCAGAAGGCCTCAGAGGTCTGGAAGGTTGATACAACATCAGATCTTTAGCGTATTTCCTGGTTTTAGTGAGAACGCCAGCAGCAGCATCCTGGATCAGCTGCAGCTGGAGGAGTGATTGTTTAGGCAGAGCTGTGTTGCAGTAGATCTTGCTGGGACGTCAGTCCTCTAATGCTGGAGATGTTCTTCAGGTGATAGAAGGCCAATTTTGTTACTGTCTTTATGTGACTGAAGATTCAGGTCAGAGTCCATCACTACTCCCTGATTTTGGCCCTGATCTCTAGTTTCTATCTGTAATAACTGAAGCTGTGTCCTGACTCTAGATCTTTCCTCTTAAGGTCCAAAGATGACAGTTCAATGCTTTGTAAACATTCCCATTGATAATAAAACTTTAAACATTTCTACATATCAACTTCCTACTTAAGCTCTAACCTCTTTCATATTGTAACAGCTTGAATTTATTTCCAAGTTTTAGTGAGAACAGTGATCTGAGGGTCTTCCAAAACAACAAAATTGTTTCATTAATAATAATCCATATCAGTTTAAGTATGGATATCAATTCTTAGTCCTTCGAGGTTAAGTCAAGCAACTGGAGACACAGGATTCGCTTCAGGACACTGACAAAGCAGATCTTCTGATAAATGTTTTATCTAACCAGGATATAATGATTACTGAATAGACCCTACAATCACTCTGTCAACAATTATTGTTAAATATTAACCAGGTAACCATAAAACCATATAAAAGGACCAGAAATCATTTCATTTAGTCTGAGTTTTGGGGATAGCATCAACATGAATTTCACTACTTGGATGTTGGTCTTGTTCTGTGGTCTAACTTTGGCCCAGGATGATGTTAATGAAACAGAAACACTGTCAAGTTTTCCTGAAATGTCAATCTTGCTCCAAGAGCTCGGTGCTGTGAAAGCAAAACTGGAAGCTGTGGAAACAAAGCTGAAAGAAACTGAAAACCAGGTTCTGGTGCTTAATGAGAAAGGTAAAGTAATTTATTTACTGGTTTAGCAGTTTCACAAAGGCTTTTGAAACAGCTGGAACCTTTCTATATTTATATTTTTGTCTAGCATCAACCAAGGTAGTTTTCAGTGCTGAAATAGGTGGGAATGCAGCCATTGGACCCTTCAGCACATCAAAAACTCTGATCTACGCAAGAGTACTAGCAAATCTGGGCAATGCCTACAATCAGCACACTGGTAGGTTGAGTTGTTCTTTTTAGTAATAACTGTATTTAAATTGACATTCTAAATATTCTGGTAAGACAAATTTATCCATCAGAAAATTTAACTTTTTAATTTTAACATAATACAATCTTACATCAGGGAATGAAAGCCAGCATGTAAAATAAAAATTGATACATGCATTAAAATTCCCTTTACTGTCAACTCCAAACATTTACATTTTGGCCAATGGGCTCATGAGGACACATACCTGTGTCAGTTATGGTTAAGGGTTAAATTTTTAGGCCCAGTGTTGCTTTGTTTTTAACAAAGTAACAGAATTTATTTGACTCTTTGTTCCCACAGGTATCTTTGTTGCACCTGTCAGAGGCATGTACTACTTCTCCTTCTTCTATCATGCTGGTGGAGGACATCCTGTGGGTCTGAACCTCATGAAGAACAATCAGGTTGTTGTGCGGAGTGCTGAACACCAGTCATCTAATGACTGGAATGATAACGGAGGCAATGCTGCCTTTGTGGAGCTGCAGCAGGGAGACCACGTCTACGTCCAGCTGGATGCAAACCAACATGTTTGGGGAAGTGGCTATTCAACTACTTTCAGTGGTTTTCTTCTGCATCAAGTCTGAAAAACGATTGAACATTGATGTGATCATGTAAATGGCTTAAACCTTCTGATCACACAGCGTGTCAATATCATGGTTAGTGTCTTTCAGTTTCATAAGCAAATCACAAAGTCAATCTGAGAGCAGTAAAGGCCTTATGTTGCAGAAAAGATTATTTCTAACAAGAGCATGAAAGATATGAATGGAAAAAGAAAATATACAAACATGTACATTCTGGAAGTTTTTTTCCAGAATATTAAAACTTAAAGATAAATCTCTGAGTGGACATTATGGTTTCTATGGTGTTTTAATCTGTGTAGAAATGGATTTAAGTCTGTCAATAAAGCTGGAATTGATATGAATATAATTTACAGTCACAGTCAATAAATGAACATATGCATTTCAATGAGGCTCATTGTCAGATTAATTAGAAAATTTAAAGCTTTGAAGCAGGTAAAAAACATACTTTAAGATTACATTTCTATATAATTTTTTGTTGTTGGTCTGATGTAATATTCATATTTTAAATGTTATGTTTTCACTAACTGTAAGTAGAAAATCACAACACAAATAAAGACTTTCAAACCATTTGTGTGTAACTAGTCTATGTCATGTATTTCATTAAGTGTTTAAATTATGAAATAAACAGGCATTTCAATAAAATTCAAATTTATTGAATCTTTAAATGAAAGACTACCTAAGTAAATAATAACTTACTTTTCAGGTGATTTTTATTCAGAGAAAAGTTTAACCAAACCAACCTTTACTTACTAGAGACTAAGTGAACCTTAGACCCATACCAGGTTATGCCCACCTTGACAGCAATAGTTGCCAACAAATGCAACTTTAAATTGACAATATTTATATTACCGTTGAAGATTTTTAGCTAGTTATTCTTTACAAAATACGTAGAAATCCAACACATTGAAATTTTTTAAGCATGAATAACCTGTTTAAGGCCACACACCACGGCACTGGTTTTAAATTTAAATACTAGGCTTCCCTAAAAGTTAGGTTTTTTTTTGTTTGTTTGTTTTTTGCTTGTTTTAGATTTTTATGCATCTGTGTTTGTGTATTTGTTGGTCAGTTTTTGATCTGAAATGACATTGACCTCAAATCTGCTGCTCCAACAGAGTCAGTTAGAATCACTTTCAACAAAAACACAATGATTCTTCCTTATGACACTTTCACTGAACCAATCTGCTGTATAACGAGATTAAATGGTCAAAATAAACAGCTAAAAATTAACAGCTGTTCAACCAAGCTCAGCTTATAGCTGAAGGTATCAGTTTTTCTATTTTCTATTGTGCTGCTTTGATCTTGGCTCTCCCATATCTTTATTCATCTGTAGATAAGTCATTTCCTGAGAATCCATGCTGTAGTCAACACCACTAAGATACATATTCTTCTACTTGTCATCTTTCCTTGTTTCTCTTCTATTGAGGTCAGTTGGGATTTGTTATAAACAGTAGTCCTGATAAGACAAACAGAACCAGGTTATAGATAATGTAATCGCTTGTGGCACATTTAGCTGATAAACTCAATAATTCAGAGAGATGATGTTGTGCATCCACCTCTATTTTTGCTTTTGACTGCAGAACAACAAATCTACAACTGCAACGTCACATATATCAGCACACATGTCTGCGCGTGCTAGATGTTACATCCCCCTTCTCTTCAAACAAAATACTTTGGAAGTGCAATAATAAGTGACACAAACAGAGAATCCGATCAGAATCAATCTCAGACTTAAATCAAATAAAGTTATGTCAGTATTATTACAACATTTTAACTGCTGCAATGAAAACTATTGTTGTCTGGGACTGGTGGAAAAAACAATTGACTCTGTTATCATCTCACTGAAAAAGGTACAGGATCTCACAAGGGAACTTTGAACTACATCTAAAGCTGTGCAGGGCTGACTTTATTAAGCCGACATTTAAATGGTCTCAGATCGACAAGGAGAAAACCTCTGCTGACCAAAAGGTTTACAAAGGTCTGTCCCAAAATTTCCAAACCAATATCTACATGATCCGTAGGGCCTTTGAGAAAATATCATCTGTGGAATTACAAGAGTACAGAAGACTATTAAATATTTGCTTTCAGCCATTTAATTTAGTTTTCTTTAAACAAAGTGTTTTGCATGTAGTTTTTATTCTCCGCCACTAGGTGGCTGCTCGATCCCGTTGATACATAGTTCTGAACATCGTGTAGTTCAGACATCGTTTACTAGGCCGTCTCAGCTGTGTGTGTTCATTGGAAGTGAGTAATACTGTCGGTGCTTGACCTTTGCTTTTTTTTAAATGCCTAGGAGCTGTACTTACACTCTGTATTTTATGGTGGTTTGGATTAGTTATCTGTATATTCTTGGTCGCTAACCGCTAGCCTTTTATCATTAAGCTAGATTCAACGAGTTGTTTGAGGTTCTCTTGAAATGCATTCTTTGAGGTGTATGATTTATCGGGAAACTATTATGGGCAGATTTGATAACTAAGTTTGGTAATGATGTAAACTTTTATAGCTAAACTCAGCTAATCATAGGTAATCAACTTCATAGCTTTGTGGTAGACTTTGATCACATGTTTATTCGCTTTGTGGATATTTTTGGTTGCCTTTGTGAAGATAGTATTTACAGATTAGTAGTTGTAATTTTGTATTTGTTTTTGTAGAATCCACACACACAAACTTGCATGTAAACCCACACTGGCATTGAAGTATTTGTAAGGAGGAACATCAGTACCTAATTATCAACAGTAACGTAAATGTCATTGCTAGTTAAAGACAGCAATTGTTAGCAACTAATGACACCAAGGTGGGTAGAACCTGGTATGAATCTTCAGGTTCACTTATTCACTTATTCATGTTGTAATTAGTTCAGGTTGGTTTGGTAAAGCTTTTCCATCAATAAATAAAAATCATCTGAAAAGTTAATTTTCAGATGATTGACTGACTGTAATTTCTGTTCAGATTAATTCAAGCTTTATTGACATACTTAAATTCATTTATACACAGATTAAGACATAGAAACCATAATGTCCCCTCAGAGATTTATATTTATAATTGTAAAATTCTGGAAAAATCTGAAATGGAATCAATTCAAACATTTCTATGCTTTTCTGAATAACCTGTTAGTGTGTATATTTTCTTTTTTCATTTATACCTTTGAGGCTTTTGTTAGGGTACTCTTTTCTGCAAAGTCACTGATGTCTCAGAGTGACGTTCATGTAATGTGGAAGTAAGTTTTGTTGGATGGATCATTTTAATTTTATTATGAAGCCTAGGCTCAAATTCAAGCTGGAAGACTTCTGCCTTGCCTGCTCCATCCAAGCGCTGCGACATGCTCATCAGCTCCACCCTCAGCGCCGAACCTCGACCCACTTGATCCAATCGTCAATCAAGCTTCAGCTTATAAGGATCCACACCCACGGCGTCAGTCGCTTTCCAGCTGTGCTCAACCCACCTCCACCCCTTCTCCACCCGCATCCTGCGGCTCTCCAGGATATCATCCTTTTCCAACCTCCACCACCAGTGTTTGCACCACCAGTGTTTGGCCCCGGGGGAAAGCATCCCTAATCAGCATTGGGGGTGCTCACCTGAATTCACTGCAATTCACAGCTCAAATCTTCAGCCGGGGCCCGAACGCCAAAGAAGTGTTATTCAATTTGTCATTAAATCTTTTAATCGTTCCTTTTCTCCGTCTGAGTCTTTCCAGATTGAAATAATTTTTTAACGGA